GTTATCGCGTCTGGTAGCATTATCCTAACTGGCGTCACCCCCCTTCGGTCATGGGAGACTGCGAACACGGGTGAGGACGTCGCTCCATGAGCTAAAGTTAGGCTGTCCTTGAGTAGTTTTAACTGTTTGCGCAGCTGAAAGAGGACTTTTAGGTCTGGATCGGAATCCAGTTTGACTTTCGATGGAGTGTATTTGTCTGGGTCAGTCAGATACAGTATCATCGAGTTAATTGCAGGATCATTCAACTTCTGAAGTTGGATGATGTCTGGGTCAGTTGACAATGACTTTTCATATTTTAAAAGAACTTGGCGAGTGTTGTCTCTTTCTTCATCAGATGTCAGCGTGTCGGCTTGAGCGACCACCTGTTCAATCTGTGATGAGACTGATGAGGGTTCTTGCTCCTTGGGGAGCTCCAACGAATCCTTTTCTGAGTCGTCGGACCTGTCTATGGGCAAGGCGCCATAGGTTTGAGGTCCTTGGTCGACGTCATCGGTTGAGAAAAGGGCTATGGCCTGTGTTGGTTTTGTGAACCATACTGGCCCAGCTTCTTGACTCGGTACCAGGTTATCTGGGAGTCCTCCCAGAAATGGAATGCCTAGTTCAAAATCATGAAAGTCAGTTGAAATCAACCATCCTAGCATAGTGTTTTTTGGGATCAGCACCTCATCCATGCCCGTGTTACACACAGCAATAGATGTGGTCCTGGAGTCAAGACTCACTTGGTTCGTGGCTTCCACGGACAGTCCCAAGTTGAAAAATGCAGGAGAGGGTTGAAAGTATGCCTGTTTATGGCGAATAGCTTGTCCAGCTATGATGTGGATTCGCACCATTAGGTTAATCACCTGGGGTGGTACTGTGGTGGTTTGGTTGCTAGCGACTTGGCAGGCCTCTGGAATGGTCTGCCCAGCCTTAAGGCTCGCTGTGTCTAGCACAGGAGGATCCTTTGTGGCTGGTTTCAGGGACCACAGCACCTTGTTGATGGTGTCCACGTGGACACCTAACCTTACCAAAATGTCAGAGCCTATGTAGGATGCATGTGGTAAATTTTGGATAACGAGAAATGGGTGAACCAGTTCTCGTTGGTTCCAGTTCAGTTTTAGGTTAATGACTCCTTCTGCGGTCATTACCTGTGAACTATTGGGAACTAATGGAAAGCGGAAAGCTTTTTTAATTAGTTCTAGACCAACGTGTTTGTGAACCAAGGTTTCATAGAAAGCTTGGTTAATTGCTGATTTATCTGTCCACAGAGACAGAACAGCATCGTTGGTGTGGGACCCTTGGATCTCTACACCCTTAACTACCAGTGGTAGGTAGTGTTTGGTGGACTCTGACTGCTGCAGCTCACAGAGGAGGCTGTCTTGTTGAGTCAGAGTTTGGACCACTTGGTGGGTCTCTTTGGTTTCACATGGTGTCAGAGGAGTACTCACCGGGCTCGTGTCCTCGGCTGAGGAGTCCTGTGCGCCTTCCGCGGTACCTGCTGTTGGGCAGTCTGTGTCATACTCTGGAGGCGTATCGATTGGCAGTGGTTTGCTCACTTTTGTCCACATTGTTTGATCACCATAATCTATAATCGCGTCGAAGCGATTTATAAAATCCTGGCCAACCAAAAATGGGAATGAGTCAACACGAGACACGTGTACTGGGTGGTACAGTGTCATATTGCCAATCTGCATGTGAACCATTGCTATAGATGTCAGGGTTGTTTTCATCTCTGGGAGACCCTGCATTTCTATAGCACATTCAGAGAGAGGTATTAGGTTAGGTTCACTACATAGCTGAAATAGAAAAGCAAGCCTAAGTTTGCAACAGAAAGTGGAAAGAACTCGTATTTGCTTAATAAGGTTAAATAAGCAGAAATTAGGAAATTAGCTTTAAAAAAGCTGAAATTAGCAACAACAAAAAAAAAAGCTGAAAGGGAGCTGAAAGACAGAAAAATCTTAAACAGCCTGAAGGAAGTAGAAGGAGCTGAAATGAGCTAAAAATGTGTGGAATTAGCTGAGAAAGCTAATTTTAGTACAAAAAGGGCTAAAAAGTAGCTGAAATAGCAGAAAAAAATGGAAACTAGCAGAAAAATAGAAAGGAGTACAACAAGCTGAAATTAGTAGAAGTTAATTAGGCTGAAAGTAGCAGAAATCACCACAAAAAACTTGAATTTATCTGAAAGCAGATGAAATTAGATAAAAATGCTAGAAGTAGCTGAAATTAGCAAAAGAAAGCAGAAAGAACACATTTGCTTAAAGAAGAATAAATTAGCACAAAATAGAGGAAATTATCTGAAAATGCTGGAAATAGGAACAAACAACCCCAGCTGAAAAGTAGTTAAAAAGCAATAAAAAACTGAAATTACAAGAAAGAAGTGGGTAGAGCCCATTTTTGTTGAATTAGGCTGTAAACAGTTGAAATGAGTTTTAAAATGTGGAATTATCTGAAAAGCTTAAATTAACATAAAAACAGCTATATACTAGCTGAAATAGTAGAAAAAGCTGAAACTTGCAGAAATAAGCTTAAAGGAGCATAACAAGCTGAAATTAGCAGTAAGAAGTTAGCAAAAGCACAAAAATGTTGGCATAAAGAAGCTCAAACGAGCACAAACATCTGAAATTAATTGGGAAAAAAAAAAGTTAATTTTGCACAAGGAAGCTGAAAGAAGCTGAACCAGAACAAAATAAGAACGGAGCACTAAAAGGTTGTAAACAGATCTGAAGATCCGAAGGATGTAAAATGAGTTCAATTCATTTTCTATGAGAAACAAATGGCAGAAAAGGCAAATTATTTCAAAAAGCTAAAGTTGCACCAATACCATCACAGCAGGATTGTCCTGAAAGAGCTGAACATTTTGATACATGATTTGTTGAAATGGTTTGAAAACTGCAGGATGAGAATTGTGCCAAAAAACATATGGAAGAAAAATGGATCACAATATCAAGGTTCTTTACTGTCATCCACATCACACGTGGTACATGAGGTGGAACAAATTTGTGTACACAGGGAGACAATAAGAATGCTTCATAAGCATTCACACAATAAATATGTTTGTTACAGAATTACTGTCACTGACTCTTATTTAATTTGTTTATTTTAACTGTAAATGTCTTGGCTTTCCCTTACAGATGTAGCATTATCCAGCAGTCTTACGTGCCATGACCCCAGCTCTCCCAGTCAGGGCTGCTGCTCAGACGGTGCCGTCTTACTTGGTGGGTTTGGGGGATCTTTGACTCAGAACCTGACCGTCAGCAGCGTGGAATACCTTGGTCCTGAAGAGGAGCATCCCCTGTCAGGTACGGGCTGTCACCGATGAAACAGAACAAGGGAAATACATTTATAGAGGGCTGGGCATCTTCATGTCAACTTCAAATTATTTGGATTTTTTTAAAGATGGTTTGATAAAATAACTCAAACTGCTGCTCCTTTTTTTGCGTGTGCCAACAAAACAATATCTTACACATGTGTCCAACATGAAGTTTGAAACAGAAAACTTTTTGTAATTCATTGTTCAGAATGAAGAACAGTTATGTAAATTAATTTTCTTCGTATCTACCACTAGAGGACAGCAAAGACATGTGGATGTCACCCATTCCAATCTGAGATCTCTAATATTTGATAAGTGCAAGAAACAGTTGAGATGTTTTTAAAGTCCATCAATGCATTTACCAAATCAGATAACTTTGTTTTAATTAATGTAAAATCGTCTTTGTAAAGTGCATTTTAACTATCACTGATTTTAAATGTAATCTTTGCTTAAGACAACTAATTTATATTGACCCTAATCATACAAACCTTTTGTCAAGCTGTTTACATGGACACTTATTTATTTTAAATTGTCTTTTCAGTAGCCGCTCCACTCCAAGACTGTGAACGGGTGGAGGTGAGCGTACCCTCACTGGAGGAGGGGGGAGAAGAGGAGGCGCGCCCAGCAGGGGACCTACCTGAGAGGCTGCAGGACTCAGGAGAACAGGTGGAGGAAAGAACAGAAGAGGAGATCCCTTCAGGAACATCTCCGCCTCAAGTACCTCCTAAACTTTTACCCCAGCTGAGTACTGGAGATGGTGAGCAGTCATTTTATTATACTGCGTTATTACTAATACTAATATTAAAGTGGTCAAATAAGCAGTACAGTGGTGTCACTTTGCAGCAAGAGATTTTTACATTGCTTTTTAAAATTTCTTTGGACAGAACTTTATGTACTCTCAGTTTGTTAACAAGTTTATATATAAAAAAAAAACTTGTTTCCAAACCACATAAAGATAATACGAAGGATTATTTATTTAATGAATGTGATTTATTTTTTTTGTTCATCTTCTCTCGTCAGACTCAGGACCTGTGTCACTTCCTGCTCACCTGCCCAACTCCTATCACCCCAAGGAGCCCCCGCCCAGGGCCACAGAAAGTCTAGCTTCTATGACCCTGCCTCTAAGAGGGCCCCTGGCAAACTCCTCAGGGTCCCCACATCTGGGCAATATGATCCACCCTCCCATGCCCCCCAGCTGTATCATGGAGGAACTGCAGCGAGCCTTTGCTTCCAAGAACAGACATGAGAGGTGAGGCGTCAAACTTTGCTGCATCTTGAACTACTTCTTTGTAAAATTGTTGAGCAAACTGCAAATATTTTACTTGAAGGTCTTATAAATGTAGCCATTAATTCTACCTCAACCTTCTGGTCTGTGTGTCCTCAGTGTTCATGACGGGTGTGAGCAGGGCTCATCGCCACGGCTCTGGTGCTCTGACGGGCGTCTGTCTCGCTCCTGCAGCTCTGAGAACCAATACTCGTCTCCGCTGGGCAGCAGCTACACGGGAGGAGGAAGAGGAGGAGGAGGAGGGTCTGACTGGCCCAAGAAGGAAGCAGAGGAGAACAAGGAGAACGTACGGCTGGACCAGTGTTTCTCCAAGACCTCAGGCCTCCCCTTTGACCTCGACGGCTGGAACGAGTCCGTCATCTCTGGTCAGTCGCTGAATCCTCAGGCCTACAGAAACTGTAATCTTTAGCATATTTTATTAGTTCACACAAACTCAAAGGCAAACAAAGGACCGGTGTTTGTTGATGGGCATCATGTCTTCCTTCTGAACAAGCAAAATCAGTAAAGGCTATTATTGTTTAAACTCTCATCACTTTTACTGATTTTGCCTGTTCTGAAGAAAGACATGATGCAAACAATACATGCATATACCTGGGTTGAATCCACTTTGCTGGTTCAAGAAGCTGATTTGAATAAAAAAAACATTTCTGTCCAAACCCTTTTTATTATCATCATGAACAGATATTTCTCAGAATGGAGAAATCGTTATCATGCTCTGAAGTGTGTTTCTGTTTTGTAGACTGTGTCTTTATATTCGGTTAGAAACACTTCAGAGCCTTGAGTTAAGGAGTTTGTGTTTTCCTCCCTGCCTGTTGTTGCAGGCACACTTCCTCGCAGGCTAAGGAAGGAGCTGCTGGCTGTCAAACTACGAAACAGGCCGAGCAAGCAGGAGCTGGAAGACAAGAACATCTTCCCGGCACGGAGCGATCAGGAGCGGCAGGAGATCCGCCAGCAGATTGAGATGAAACTCGCCAAGTAAGAAATGGAACTGTTTGGGTTTGGCATGTTTTAGTTCTGGAATTAGCACATCTTAATACTATACTGGGAAGATTTACTGGTTGTGTGAATGTTTATGAAGCATTCACACTGTTCTGATCCATTTTTCTTCCGTACATTCTTCAGCATCTTTCTTGTTCCACAGTTTTTCTGCTATTTCAACAAACCATGTGTCAAAACGTTCAGCTCTTTCAGAACAATCCTGCTATGGCTTTTGGTATTGGTGCAACTTTAGCTTTTTGAAATATTTAGCCTTTTCTGCCACTTTTTCCTCATAGGAAATGAATTGAGCTCATTTTACATCCTTCAGATCTTTAGATCTGTTCACGGCCTTTTACTGATCCTGTCGCATTTCGTTCTGGTTCAGCTTCTTTGTACACATTTACAGTTTTTTCAGCTACTTTCAGCTGTTTTGTGATCCTTTCAGATTATTTCTGCTAACTACAACGTTTTTGTGCTTCTTCTAACTTATTTTTGCTAATGGCCAGCTTGGTATGCTCCTTTCAGCTGATTCGCTGGTGAAGATTCTCAGTCATCCAGGACTTGGTAAATTCAAAAACGTTCAAGACTGCATGAATGTTTGGACGTTTTTGAATTTCAGCTGATTGCTGCAAGTTTCAGCTTTTTCTCCTATTTCAGCTACTATTTAGCCGTTTTTGTTCATTTTAGCTTTATCACCTAATTCCAATTTTTTTTTGCACTCATTTAATTTTTTTCAGCCCAATTGAGCAAAAATGTGCTCTCCACTTAATTCTGATAATTTAGGCTTCTTTCTGTTTTTTTAGCTTCTTTTTCTAAATTCAGCTTTTTTTCCCCAAATAATTTTCACTGTTTTATGCTCATTTCTGCTTCTTTCAGCCTAATTGGGCAAACATGTTCTTTTTGCTTTCTTCTGCTAATTTAAACTTGTTTTACTTTTAGCATTTTTAGCTGATTTCAGCTGTTTTCACATAAATTCAAGTTTTTCATGGTAATTTCTGCTACTTTTAGCCTCAATAACTTGTTTCTGCTGATTTCAGCATGTTTAGCTTTTTTCAGCTTTTTCTGTAATTTCAGCTACTTTTTAGCTGCTTTGTGCTAAATTTAGCATTTTCAGCTACTTATACATTTTTTTAGTTCATTTCAGCTCTTTCCACTTCCTTCTGGTAGCTTAAGCTTCTTTCTGCATTTTTAGCTATTTATTTTTTGCTAATTTCTATTTTTTTAGCTAATTTTCTCAATTTGTGCTTGTTTCTGCTTATTTAAACCCAATTTGGTGAACATGTGCTCTTTCTTCTGCTAACTTAGGCTTGTTCTTCCATTTCAGCTCTTTCTCAGTAAGTAATTCAGCCATAAGCATTCACTGAATTTTTTTTGCAGGAAATGCAATTTCTCTAGTTTCTGTTAAGTTCATAAAGCAAAAATGTAACAACAAGACCAAATAGATAGTGGCAAATTTTGTTTGTTTCAGTGGTAAAATTATTGTGGCTATAAAACTGAGGAGGTGGAAGTGAAATCAACAAGTTTAATATTACCTGATTGTTTCACACCGACTGGTTTTATCTGCTGCTCCGAGAAGAGTAATTAGGTTTGATGCTTTCTCATCAGAGCCAGTTTTTACTTTAGGAAGCCTCTGCAGTAAAACTGAACTGTCAGCGTTAAAGTTTCTGAATGGATGAAAATCCCTGAAGGTTCTGGTACTCACAATGTTTTCACGTTTATCAAATCATTCCTTCAAATGACCACCGTTAAGTGTTTGAAGAGCAACACGTGCAGACAGACAATGCTTCCTGGAAATGTTTTTCTACACGAAGCACCATCGGTGTTTATGTGAGCCTCAGAGCAGCAACATCATTAGTTTTTTTTTTTTTTTTAATGCTACTGAGACATTTGTGTCCACAGGCTGAAACTGGTGCTACTGGGTTTAAATAGGCCACGAGACTCCGGCTCTTTAACACAGGCATATCAAACGGGTGCAGCAGTTACATAAACTCCTGTGCAATAACTCGCAGCCAAGCACAAAGCGCCACCCACACGCCTCAGTGAGCACTATCCATCATCCGTCTGGTAGACAGCTAATATTACAGCCTCTTCCTCTATTCATAGACTCCCTGGAAGAATAAAAGACTTCTGATGATGTAAAAAAAATCTATTTCTACAAAACTTTGTGTTTAACTCATGCACACTTTTTGATTTTGTACATTTTTCTACTTGTAGAGGATATACAGATGAGCACAGCGACACTGTGGAGGATAACGTTTTGATTACATCATAATGGTGAAGAACATGAGCGACACACCACGCAGCAAACTTAGATTTCCACCTTAACCTACAGCTGATGGATAATAACATCCCACCTTACTGTCCGTGTCAGAGATGGATGACTCTTCTATCTTTAGTTACAGTTCTAGCCCAAGTAGTCCTGCAGCCACACTCCAGTTTCTAATCTTAGCTCCTGCCACTGTTCAATAATGCAAACAC